GTCGGAACTGGCGTCCAGATTCAGCCGCTGCTGAAACTGACCGCCAGTTCTGACTTACATACAGATTCAACTTAAGAACAAACCTACAGTCCCTATCTTGTATGTAACCCGGGGACTGCCTGTACTCAGTGGATTACACTCCCCACAGTTCAAGTGGTAGGCTGACTTGGTCAGGACAAAAGTGAAGATTCCCATCACGAAGCTTCATTTGTTTTAAAGAAGCACAACTGAAAAATTGTCAATTAACAACCGTCAAGTATTGTGGAAAGCTTATCCATTTTCATAAGATTTTATACACTTCTGCTATATTGGTTAATACCCCAAAAGCAAGAATGGATTAACTTTTTTTTAGCTGAAATTCAATAATGTTAGTTGTTTTTGGAGGAACAGCTCAATTTGGAGAAGGAAATGCATGAAAGGTAACAGAGAAGAAGGTTAAAATGTATTTATGCTCATAGACCATGTCAAGATAGTTCATGACTTACTTTCTACTTCCCATTAATGCCCATTTCCTGGAAATGCATTTTACAGATATATAGGTGTATGCATACATTAGTATTTGCAAGTGCATGGATCATACGACTATGGATTTGCAGGACACTATATGTATTACATACCATATGCAAAGGGGGAAATTAAGTTGCGTAATGCAAGATTGTCGGTATTTTATAATGTACAAACAGTAGTTGTGAATATTCAGTATTTTGCCAGTTTAGATGGTTTTAATACAAAGAACAACTTCAAAACCCCCAAGACCATAGGGGTAGATTTTCAAAGGTAATCAACACCCAACAGCTCTGGCTGTACTAAACAGGAGCTGCTGAGTTTTGGGAACTTTTGAAAAATCTGACTACTTTAAGTGTCTAAATAGGAGCCAAGCTCTTCTGCGAAATCCAGCTCACAACAAATTGTGAATACTTTTGAACATTTGGACTTATGTGTAAAAAAACCCCAAACAAACAAACAAACCAAGTCAGGAATAGAGACAAAATATTCTTGCAGAATATGAAAAAAGCAGATTAGTTTTAATAAAAGTTGAGCACCTACCATCCCCTCCCAAAAATAATCATAGGAACATAGTTTAAGACAGTTGATTTGGTGCTATTAAAGTAACCCCCAGAGAGTTAGGTTTGCTGTAAAATCTTCAACTGCTATCTACTGCCTCAAACAGATCATGGAAGCTTCTGGTATAATTAAAATGGCTTATATGGAATGGAAGTGAATTGTAAACAGAGGTTTAAGGTTAAACTCTTCCTTACTGTACATCAAGAATGATTTAAAGGTAAAATGCAGTGGCTTTGCTAAGGGCCTGATCCTGAAAATGGTTAATTCCACTTGCTTCCCTCCCTCCCCCTATCCTCTGAGTTCCAGTGACATTCCCAAAGAACAACTGCATCACTGTCACCTACTAAACTGAAATACTCTCTTTATACAAGCATCACATATCCTGTATCTAACAGTTTCAGAAAGTACCTTAATTTGTCAGCATATGTGGATACGTATAACATACGTACCCAGTATTTAATAAATGGTATGTTTGCCATTGACTTCAATTAAATGAAATTTTGCTACTGATTTCAATGAAAGCAGCTTCAGGGATTTTGTGTATGGGAGTCAGCTTGCAACCTCAAGTCCTAAGGAGGAAAGGGGGAGTATATGGCTACATAAAATTGTTAAGCACTGCATTTTCAGCAAAATTACTTCCAAAGTCCTGAGAAATCCGAGCTCCAGATTTTCTCGTTTCTGCTAGAGTGAACCACAATTACTAAAGGGACATGAAAATAGGGGGTTTAAATAATGAAATATCTCTATTACACTTACAATATATTTGTGGAGTGTTATGTTTGTTCACTTTGGAAAAAAACTGAGAAGGTTGCAGTCCAGCTGTCTAAATGTGGGTAATAATATTCTACATTCACAATATAGTGTCTTTCATCTAGCTCCCTCAGAGTAAATATATGGTAGAAAAGGGTAGAGGGCTTCTGACTCTCAGTCTTCATTCTATCATCAGACCATGCTTCCCCCATGTAGTTATCTAAATTTTGTTAGAGATACAGTCACTTTGAAGCCTACGTGAATTAAATGAAAAGGGCAAAAGATTCAAATAATGTATCTTACCTTTGAGATTTCCTGCCAGTTTTGGTTTTGCTATCACATTTTCCTATGTATTCCTCTGCTTGTTTCTTTGTGAAAAATCCACACAGAGGACACTAACTGACTGACTATTCAGGGGAATCGGTGAAACTACTACAAAATAAACCTGAAAAATAGATACTGTGTTTTCCAGTCAATCAACAACAGTATTCAGGTTTGTTACTTATAACAACAGTAGGTCAAAGATTTCCAGAAGAAAATGTTTAAGCTGTGTCCATTTCAAATAAAGTGCTAACTGTATTTTAATGGCTATAAACTGTCTTTTGTTATCTTACAAATAAGTCTTTTAAAAGTCTGAAATGCACTTAAGTTTTACGAAAGCAGAACTTACACTGAAATGTTTACTAAATGTGCAAAATATATATTTCCTTAAATTGGTATTAAAACAGGGTTCTACCCTGACTAAAACAGATGTTATTTTATGGGGAGATTTTCAGAGTCACTTTGCAAAGGAAATAAATAGGTTGTTTTTACTTCTTTACTATACATCACATTGGCCTACCAAGATCTGTTTTGTTAAAAGATTTTTCTCAGCTTTTTTTTTTTTTTTTTTTTTTCAGTTGAGAAATTCAGGTTCTGTTAACCCTGGGAAACAACAATGACTGAGAACCAGTGGAGTAACTGACTCACAAAAGACCAGAATAAAATCTGAGCAGCTGGAAAGTGCAGGGATTTTTAGTTAGGCTGCTTAAAAACCTCTGGTTTTGGTATAATATTTAACTTATGACTAATGAACATTTCGATAAAGGATATTTACCCCTTTGGTTGTCATCTTTCTCACAAGAAATATACTTTGAGCTACCCAGAAGATCCTTCAGCAAAACCAAAGAAGAGACTTGACATGCCTGATATTTTTAACCATAAATTAAAAGAAACAAAAAACAAACAAAAGCCCCCTCAAACCACCAGGCTTTTACTTTTCAAATACATTACAAAGAAAAAAAAAAGGACACATAGCTAACTTTAAAAGAATCCTTGCACATCACCTTTAAGATAGGCAGGTCTTTATTCTACAGGAAGTATACCCATGCTTTCCCAATGCCTACCCTGGTCTCAATAAGAGACTGCAAATACTTAAATCTATTACGTGTGAAGCAGCATTTTTTTCCTCAAACAAACATGTTTTTGAAACACAATATTCTTAGAAAGAATTAATTTTCCAATAATTTATAATCCAATGGAATGTAGCAGCCTAGTTCTAACCATATGGTAACTATATATTTACTGTAAGCAGCTTTATTAAAAATATTTAACTGTGGCTTCACAGCCACAATATTTTATAAACACAATAAAATTATTTCTTTTTATGTTCACGGAAAATATGGCACCCACAAGCACACAGGTGTATCTATGAAACAAGAGGCCTGTGCTTTTGTTCAAAACCATTGAAAAAATTTCTCTATTAAGACAAGATAAAGAATTTGACAAGTTCTTTGATGTTATGTTCTCCAAATGAGCATATTTATGATACTTTCTGAATAACTTAGAATCTAGGGAATCCGCATTTGTTTGCTTGCTTTCTGTCTGTCTGAGGCAAACTGCAAGCAGTTGGGTGATTTCTAAAATAAGCAGATAAATGTGATTACACCATTCCTCTCTCTGCCTCAAAACTTGATTAATGGGGACATTCAGCACAGAAAGCCTATTTTGTTTTAGTTTTCAGCTCAGCTTTGAAGTTCACATCTGATATCTACTTTGAACACTACCTCTTTCAAATGACCAAAAATGTTTTGGTTTGGCTATTTGCTTTGTCACCAGCCAGTCTGTTCCATCTTATATCATCGTATACAATATTGGTTATAGCCAGTGAGACAATTTAGAAAACATACGCACAAAAGGTTTAAGGGCCACTCAAATTAGAAGCATTTAATGTGGCTCTGGGGACAAACTGTTCAAAAGGTACAGCACTGTAAACCCAATTAAGTGAACAGGCCATTGACTTCAGTTAAGTAGTTACACTGTTAACCTGAAAACAGAATTTGCCTCCTTGCAATTCCATACAGTATTTAAAGAGAAAGTCTCTAAAACAATGTACTGCCCTTGTTACCAAATATCCAGCATTCACAAATGAAAAAACAAAATATTTTGCTATGTTGTGTTGATAAATATAGACATGTCACTTATTCTTTCTGAAGGCACCAAAAAACCTGTATCCAACCTGATTCAGAATGCTCCTTAATTTGTGACAGCATGTCTGGATACATAACTTACATGTTCAGTACATGGAATTAAATTATACTCTATTGTATTTAATGATCTAATGGTAAGTTCTCGTCTATAGGGAATCCAGCCAGCAAGATTCTGGACTGAAACAACTTTATACTGTAATTTTTTCTTTTTTCTGTACTTGGTCAAATTTGTGAGGCCCTGATCACCGCAGAATGTTAGAAACTAGCTAACTATTAGTGTTAAAAGGCACAAAGTTTTTGACTTAAGCAGTGATTTTCCTGTTCCACTTGTGATGCTGAAACATGAATGTTTTAGGATACTAGCTTGAAATGAGAAATTGCAGATTTCCCAAGAGGAAACATATTGTTGTTTTTTTTAAACTAATTACTATTGCAGGTTTCCCTAAACCTTTTCAGTGAAAAATACAGAACCTGGAAGTACACGTTCAACATATTTATGGTCTACTGAAGTATCAAATGGCAGAGTTGCTGCAAATTATTCCACGTACTAAAAGCAATGTTTACAACCTCTATATAGGACTTTACAAATATCTGCTTTTAAAAGAGATTAGTGAAGCTCTTGGTTTTCTTAGTATTGGTCAGAAAATCTTAAAAACAACAACAGCTAATTGCTACTCCAAATCAATATACCCCACCATATATTTAGGAATATACACTGCTATATTTTAAAAATATCAAGTTCCTCTAAGCTGGTAAAGTCTGAAGTTTTTACATAAAGTTAGAGATGAAGTGTAATTTTTTTGTTTCAACTACACACGCTTGACATCTGAATAAGGAGTGATGTAGTCACACTATTCATTTAATCAGTGAGACAAAATGTTTCATGGAGCTAAATTTCTGAGATTTTAAATAGAAAGTCTTTTAATTTATATATACACAAAGTTCTTTGCACAGATATTTACACAACAAATATGTTAAAGGAGAACCACTATGACTTAAGTTTCTACAAGTGTGGCATCCTGTCTGAGCTACTCTCTGCTGAAAGAATTCACAGAAGCTTTTGAAGTAAAATCTAAACAATTAAAATATTTGTGAACTTTGTTCTATATTTCAGAGTAGGTAAATAAGCCATTACATGATATTTCAGCATAAGGGTTCTGGAAACAGCTACACAGTAGAGTTTTACATCCACCCACTTTCCAGCTTTCAGAATGAAACAATCTCTTCTTGCTATACAGGAGAGATATAATAGCATACTTGAAGATGCACAGGTAAAATTTTAGTTCATCCCCCTCGATAGATACTTGTCAGCCTTTCTAGTTCTTTGCAGTTGTCCATGGACAAGGAGTCTGCCTTCATTCGGAGGCGATCATCTCGGTACACTTTTGCTGCATACAGCAAGTCCGTTTCTTTAAAAAAAGAAAGATTTTAGGGTTAAAGTAGTAATTTCACTTAGATGTAAAGTTCTCTATCAGAACTACCCCAAACATAAGATACCCACATCTTTTACCACTCTCTTTGCTGCTCCCAATGGATGCTTTTTTAAAAACTCTAATTGCTATTACTAATTATTATAGAGTGACATGTGTGTAGTTTTATTGCAGGTTTCCCCTCAATTTCCATCAGCATTGCTTGCCAGTTTGAAGATTTTCCAATGTTCTTATATTTCAATCCATACTTACTGACCTGAGAGATTCTCTGTCCCCCATTACTTGCTTACTGTACACCAATTCAGATGCTAACCACTTCATCCCTGTTGTCAGTGATCTTAATGACGCCTAGTTATGCTGGCAGTGTTCAAAATCCATTCTGAGAGTTAAATGCCTTTTGGATCTACTTGCCCAGCTACCTAAATATACCAATTTCTCAAGCATAAAATAACTATCCCTTATGTTCTTACTAGTGCTTACTAGTCCTAAACTATAACGTCTCTTTTTCATTCTCTCGGGTTAAATTCTAACTAGTAAGTCATTTTTTAAAAGACAATTTAGAAATAAGTTTTAAAGTGGCAAATAATGACATCTAAAAAAATACCACTGAACACGGAGCTGATATTTCCATAAATAAAATACAAAGCAGGAGTAACTTGTTACACAAACAAATAGGATTTGCTATTTCTTTTGTTTTTAAAAGCTATTTACGGAGTTTTAATAAGTTTACAAAATCAATGCCATCTAAATATCACAAGCACAGTGATTTTATTACTACATATTGAGAAACCGTCATAAATTTCCTCCAATGTAACATATTACAGAATGAGCCTCTTTTCACCATCTAGGACATTCTGTTCATGGTTACTTTATTGAGTAAAACTTCTGACTCTTCTCTTGTTCAGCTTCTTTTCTGCCATTGCCACTAAGTTCTGTAGAATATTTTGTCTTTTCTTGAATTTCAGAATCTGCTAGTGTTTCTTCCCGCCACCCCCAATCAGCTCATCATTAATTTCTACCTCTGGGATATTATTTTGTCTGACTGAAATGTGGATTTGTAGCTTAAGAAACTGGAGTGTAATTTCTCCTCTTTTAAAATCTCTAACTATATAATAATGATTTTGGAAGCTGAATGAGAGTTTAAATGGGAATTTCCATTTTCAGCAGAGCTCTGCCATCCCGACTGCTTCTGTAATTTCCCCTAGCTCTTTCCTTTTTTTTTTTTTTTTTTTAAAAGCTTGGACTAGACCTGGTTGGAGAATTTTAATGGAACCATATTCTACTGGAACATGTGGTTCTATCGATACTGAAATACTTTGAAAACAGAGGTTGATTTCACTGGCATTTCACTTCAGAAGAAAACCCTGAAAAAAAGTCTAATGTTGAAACATCACTTTTCAACTTTCTGGAATGAAATATTTAGATTTTTCTTTTTGAAATGACTACAAATAAAAACAAATTGTATTATCTCTCACTATATATTTTAGAATGCATCTATCTGTCAGAGTCCATCTGTGAATATATCTGTTCAAAAATATATTTTAAATGGTAAGAGCTAGGACTACCAAATTTGGTATGCAGCTTCCTCTTATGCTAACTTAAAACAAGGTCAAAGTTTGGTTATGCCAGGAAAACAGGAAGTGCCTAGAATGAGACTGTTTTCTATAACATGGAAAAGAAAGAGGCTGATTGGAGAGAGTGATATTGCAGAGTGACGGCTGGAGGCAGCAAACTCAGGGGACAGCTCTATTGCAGAGTGACCACTGGGAGCTGCTGCACACGCAGGAGAGTAGCCAGCTGGGGACAGGGCTCCATGTGTCTGGTCACCATTGGGTAAGTGGCCCAAACAGTGCCAGAGAAGAACACCCTCCTTCCAGCCGTTGCAACCCTCCTGGGAACTTTAAATGTCTATCTTCATTTAAATCATTGCTCTAGTGTTTGGATGAGGGGTTCAGTATGAAGGCTGCCCTGGGCAGAAAGGACAACCCCAGCAGCAGCAGCTTGGGGCAAGGTGAGAAGCATTTCTCCAAGGCCACTGCAGCTTCCCTTTAACTTGCCTCCTTTCTGTATGGTTTATGAGAAGCAATCCCACTCCAGGCACATCTCTCTTTTCCCTGGTACAACCAACCCCTCACCTTGGTTTAAGTTATGCAGCTTCCTTGTATCATAATGACAGACTCATGCACAGATAGACAAACTTTCAAATATATAGCAGATTAAAGTGGATAAGAAAAAATTAATAGGTTAAACAATCTAATTGCTAAAATAAATTGAGAGGATAAAATTATAAAAAGTGAAGCATTTGTTTTTAGCTCCAAAGATGTAGATGATATTGAATTTTCAATGTGTCTTTTTTTTTTACCCTGATCCAGGACTAAATATAGAAAGTTCCAGAGCTCATGTCAGAATACATTTTCCTTCTTTCTTTCTTCTATGGGTGGTTTTTTTTTTAAATATAGCATTCTTGCCTCAACATATGGAGCTTCATTTTGGAAAGAGGAACAAATACTAAGATAGATGGCTAATAAGGAAGTGGAGGCAGGGGAATAACAGGGTTGACAAAAGAGATTAAGTATTGCACTGAGAGTGGTTTCAGGTTAGCGGTGGGAGTATTCTTCCCCATTACTAACATAGTCAAATTAATAAGTGTGTTAGTCAGTATCAAAAAATTACAGCATTCCACTGTAATTGTCAAATGTACCAGAACAAAGAATGTATCATTTTGTAGGTGGCATTGTTTCCTTCAGTCATCAAAACGTAGACGACTTTGTGTATTTTTAAAATGCGAACAAATGTGTAAGACTACAATTATATTGGTTCTTTCATTCAAATCACGTGTTAACACTTACTAGTAAAAATCATCATGTCCTTCTATCTAATACAGAAATAAGCTTTTTGCACTAAAGCATATTTTTGAGAAGTGCAAACATTACTCATGGAGTGAACTTACTTTGCTGCCTCTCCTTCCAACAGTTATTTCGAACGTTAGACACGTAGTCCTCTTCCACACTCTTTTCCACCTTCTGTAATGATACTCCTTTGTATTCATTTCTGAAGTCCTTGTTGACATAATAAATCACTCCCAAGTTTTCTGTTTTCATTTTGATGGTTTGCCCTGTACCACTGTAAGAGACATGGTACACATTAGTTTTTTTTATATACACAATATGTATGTTTCAAATATTGCCATTGATGAAGAGCAGCAATAAAATTTCGCTGAGTATGCTATTTAAAAAGGTATAGAAAAAAGTCAGGTTGTAATAAAAAAGAGTGTTTAACAGAAGGAAATGCTTACACTGACATGGAAATAAGACTTTTCTGCTTTTTACATTTCTCTAACTCCACAATCATTTGAGTAAGTCATTTTTGTTTTAAAACTAAATAAAATAACAATTACATTAAAAATAATACAATAAAATAACAACCAACCACCAACACTGGAATTTGTCAAAACAAAAAATTAGGCAAGAACAACAGCATTTCACTCTAAAATGCTTTTTTGCAGCCCTTGACATATCCACCTGCATGCTGTGGATTAAAAACTCATGATTTGTTTATGATCCGGAGGTGTGATGCTTGTTAAGTATCACAGGAGTTTAGTATCAGAACGGAAAAACCATCTCTCTCCCATGGAATTCAAACTCTGTAAGAAGATCCTTCTTTCTATGAAGTTCACCAGTTCTGAGAACACCTGATGGCAAATAAGCTAAATCTATTCTTTATTCTTATTTGCCAAGGGAGTTAATTTCTTTCAAGAAAAAACATCCCTCCATATTAACAGAGATGAGTTTCAATACCTGTACTCTCTTTCAGAGAGGTAGGGATAAAATACTGTCAGTCTACTATGGGTGAAAGGGGAGAATAGAGAATTTCTCCAGCCTTCATCATAATTCAGACCTTAACATCACAGATTTTAGTCAACTTCTTGACTTGATGCAAGTAGAAGATGACTCTGCAAAGCAGATATTAAAAAGACATGCAATGAAAGAAAAAAAAAAAGCAGAATATGTTTTTGGACAAGTGTGTTTTGTTTAACAAATTTACAAATTAACAAATTTTGCTTAACTGGATTACTTACGATCTTGGGTATAAGGCATAAGGAGGATTAGAAACCATCAACTGGCTCAACAAAGACACAAGGATCAGTACAATAATAGGCATCAGCTGGATGAACATAGAAAAGCCTCCCTAGGGAACATAACAGTTAAGATTTAGGCATTTCATAAAATCAGGATCAAGATAGTATGCAAATCTGACAAGGTTCAATCCGAACTGGGATTTGTTTTTTAAGATTGAACAATATACCAATAACCTAAACAGTGCCAAACTGTTTTGTAGAATAACTAAAATTAGTAGTAGACAGTTTAAGCACTGTCAGGTTACTGTACTCCAAAGTCACTCCCCCCTGCTACGAAAAAAGATTGTCCCTGTTCCAAAGAGTTTGTAATCCAAGTATACATGGCATTAGTCAGTTAATAGCAATCCAATATGCATTCCATCATACAACATTGAAGAGATGCATTTAAAACTCCTGAAACAGAGTTCAAAGCCTACTGAAACCAATGAGTCATTTCACTGATTTAATGGACTGAACCATGTCTATGCACATGTCAAATAAGTAGTTAAATCAAAACAGCCAGCCACACTTAGTTTGTCTAAAGATAGTCCAGAACATGTGTGAATACTCTTAATTTAATCCACTTATAAAACAGATTAAAATAAGTGAGAATAAGGCACTCTTACTCCAGAACAAGGACATCCACATATGATGTTATTCTTAGCAATAGCTAATGTGTTTTAAATTAAAATTCCTATCTTAATATCGAGGTGGCAAAAATCTGATTTTTAAATTCAATTGGATTTTTTTTATTTGCATTATAATTAGTTTGTTTTAAAAAATAAACCTATTTAAAAATGATATCTCTATACAAAATCTGTTCAGGCCCAAACTTACAAGTTGTAGACGTGAAACAATATTTGATAAGATAATTTTACATATCCAAAACATTTAATGTTGTTTTTATAAAAATAAATGTTATAGCTGTTTTGTTAATTAAATTCCAGTTGCCATCCTAATTCAGGTTGACACAAATCACAAGCAAAAAATTGCAATATTAGAGCAATGTATTATTCACTATTTCTAATCATCTGAAAGCGTTAAATTATATAACTGCTTAAATAAGTATGTATTATTTAGAATGGACCCTGCTAGATAGTAAAAAACTATTTAGCTGTAAATCAGCATATATTATTAGTTGTATCAACCAATGAAACCATAACCTTCTTTAGAAAACAATTGAAGAATAGATAAAAAATTAATAACAATTGATTATTTAAATCAATAGTTTTCACTTGTTAATGTTGCCACAAATTTGGTAGTATTTAAAATCTTAACACTCCAGTAGGAGTGCCAGAATCTCTCCTATACTACTTTTCCTTCATTCCTCCCACCCCCCCCAAGGCCACTCCTGTTCTCTCCTTTCCCCTCCGCCACCCAGTGCTTTTCCTCTCCCCATCCCCTAGGTCAAGGACTTTCCTGGAATCTGCTGCTGAAGGTAGGGGGCAGCTCTGGCTGAGTAGGGGCTAAAGCAGGTGATAACCCAGCATCTCCTCTCCCCTCCTGCTCTCAGTAACTGGACGTAGGGGACCTGACAGTGTCTGGTTAGATCTACTGACCAGACACCCATTTTTAACTGAACTTCCCAATCAAAACCAGGCAACTGGCCACCCTACCACTTGGTGATGTAATTCAGTGTTTCTCAAAGTGTTCTGTAGGTCCATTTTGGGAAAGCCGCCAGTAGGCCCGTGCCACTTTGTTTACTTAAAGGGTCAATAGCCACAGAGCCTCACAGCTCCCATTGGCTCCACTTCGCTGTTTCCAGCCAAGGGGAGCTACAAGAAACAGCAGCCTGAGCAACACCACTTTCTGCAGCTCCCCTTGACTGGAAATGGCGAACCAAAGCCAATGGGAGCCACGAGGCTCTGTGGCTACAGATCCTGTAGGTAAACAAAACAGCATCGGCCCACTAGCAGCTCTCCCGTGGGCCAATGGAAAACTCTGAGAAACACTGATGTAAATCAATCTGCCCTGCTTAATCCAAATTATTTTTTTAAGTGCAGACAAACCCTTAGTGACCAGAAACTAACTTCAGTCATTTCGCATTTAGTTATGACACAGTTTGGGTTCTTTTGTTTTGTTTCCTGCACCTTATACAAATCTTCATGTCTGTTTAGCAGAAGAGCTAGGCTTTCCCACTAAGCCTGAAATGTAAAATATTTCAATTGTGTATTCAGGTATTCCTACAGAGTACAAGACTCCCCTGCAACTATGCCATGTATATGACTACAATCTTCTCTCTAGAAGTGGATTCAGGTCAAAACCACTCAAACATACATCACCCCTCTCCTCTTCCCTCTCATGTCCACTATGACGGTGTTGATTAGCATGACTGTAGCCACCTCGACCATTTGAAAATGAATGTACACTACCTACGAAAAGAATAATCAAAAGTCAAGAAAACACCAGTTAAACATGCAAGATGGGAGAGAAACTAAAATGTCTTGACTATGGACTGGGGAATTAATATACAGAGGATAGCATTTAATTTTTTCATCTTTAAATTTCTTTTATTTTAATATACTTGGCTTTATTTTTGAAAACCTACAATATTTATCAATTCATGATTTCATGTGCTCTCAAGGTTACCATAACAATCAGAAAAGGAAACTAACAAGTTCAATATACAGCAATCCACAGAGAAAAATAAATTGATTACAGTAGATTAGGAAAAAAAGAGCTGGGATATTCTAAAAATCATCATATGAACTCTGTAGTTCAGCTGAGAGAAATGCCCATTAAATATTAATGGATAAATACCTGAAGGAAATGCTCCTCCAAAGAACATATTGAATAAATCCTCTGGAGTAATATCAGCCTCACAACCTCTGTGGAAATTAAATCTACCATTGCCAGGGTGATTGCATGCTTGCTCCTCACTGCCTGTAAGGTCATATTGCTTTCGTTTTTCTGGATTGCTCAGCACAGCATATGCATTTCCAATCTCTGAAACAGGGAACAAAGAGACATACAAACTAACAATAAGAGCTATTCTGTAATTACAGTTGTAATTTCAGTCAAGAATTTGCTGAAGATTAGCATCTTTTATAGGTGACACTTGTACATTACAAAATCAACTGCAGTGGAATAGGGTGTCCAGAGACACCTTTGGTTTTTTACTCCTTCCAAGATGCAGTATCATGGTAAAGTAGCTATAGAAAGCTAGACAGTTATGTCATCTGCTGAAATATTTCCCCTCATTGCAATTTAAAAAAATATAGATTTAATGTGAACTAAAAAAAGTCAGGTAATTGCAAAAGTTTGGCTTGATCCAACAACATTAACCCTGCATGCAGCATATCCTATATGTTTTATGGAGTACATTAATATGAATAATACAATAAACTTTACATTCAACATGGAAAAGACAAATAGAAAATATTACATGAGAATTAATATTAGTGAATCCATTTAGAGTTAACCCTAATCGATCTTAACTTTTGGAATTCCCTCACCTGTGTGTGCTTGAGCTTGAAACCTTAACACTGTGTTAATACAGATATTTTATATTTAATGTATCTGAGTTTGAAGGAAGTAGAGGAGAAACACCAGAGAGATTTGTGGAAGTAATCAGTTTAAACAGTTTACAAATTCTGCTCGCTTTATCGGGGATTGAAAGTGCTTTGAACGTTCTTGCTATGCATGTGTGTCCAGAGCATCTTTGGTTTACTGGATATCTATCGACAAAGAAATTTACTACTGCAGCTTAGTATGCAAACTTCAGTTAATCTTATCTTGTTAAATAAAACTTTTTTCCCTCAATGAACAAAAGTGAATGGATCTCATTACCATTTTTCTCATTAACTTTTTTCCCCCTATCCTCTCAAAAATGGGCATAGGTTTTCAGTGTTGGATTCCCAAACGCAAAATGCCAGAAGTTGATGAATGGGTATAAGGTTAAAGGACCATACAGATAAATCGACTGTGGCTTTGAACAAGCACTGATTTATCAGAGTGATTGAGGACAAGAAAGTTACAAGGGTGCAAGTATGGCAATATTTTTTTTTAAACTGTCATGAGACAATGCTAGCAGTGCTGCTTTTAAATGACAAATCAAGCTACAAAAATTATATTGAAACCCTTATAAGACACACACTTTAAATACAGTTATTAGGGTTACTCTGCCCCAGGGTAAAAATGGTGATGAGAGTTTGACGCACTCAACAGTGGAGAGTAATTACAGAGAAGTCAGTCAGCTCCTAACAAATGCACAAAGAAAATCTTTTGCAAAAAATGTTTTACTCATGATATTTTTAAAGTAACATTTTTGCTTATATTGTGACATGGAAGATCATAAACTGCTAATAACCGAAGACAGGAATTCAAAAAGGTTTTTTATTTTAAACAGAATATTTTTATTTAGAGAAGATAGAAAGACAGACTTATCAATGTTCTTAAAATAAAAAGAACAAACTCTTGGACAAGTTAGTAAAATATATTCCAAGAGATTTGAAAAGTGAGTTTATATTCATGTGGTTTTTGTACAGCCTCTCTCCAAGTTACAAACGAGTTTACGGCCAAGTGTTTGGTCCATACTCGAGCTGTTTGTAACTCGGACCCCATTGAGTTACACGCGACCACGGTGTTCATAAGCGCGGGTCGCGTTCGTAACTCAAGGACTACCTTTACGACTGCTCCATGGGAGCTTTGGTTGTAAGCGCGAATGGTCGTAACTCGACCGTTTGCAACTCGAGGAGCAGCTGTATTGAGAAAATAGTCTTGCATTCCTATTTTATACCATGTGATCTGTCAGTCTCAAGCTCTATTTAGGAGGTTTTCTAAAAAAAAACAAACCCAAACAAATCCAGGAAACCTCCTGACTAGTAAATTATAAATACATGTTGTCTGGCAATATTCAGAAAATGACCAAATGATACTTCGGAAATTTTAAGAAAAATACAGTCCCATTAAAGCCATTTGGATTCCAACACTGGACTATACTATTTTGAAACCATACATTAAAGTAATGTGCATTTGCTGAAGAACCAGAAAATATTCAACCTGAATGAAGAGTGAAATAGTAAATGGTTGATTTTGAAAATGTCAAAGTTAATACTTTAAACTATTATTAGTAACAAGGTGAACATGATTAGATTTGACGGTGAGCCTTTAAACTAATTATATATTTTGTAAAGTTTAGTTATCAAAAGCATGTGTAACTATATTAAGACAATTATTAGCAATTAACTTGATTTCTATAAGTAATCTATTTCATAATTAGTTCTCTTGGCCAGGTCTACGCAGCAAGTTTTGTTCTGGGCTTAACTTAGAAATATGAGCCTTGATACCATTTTGATTTGTTCTATCCCCATACAAAAGATGTTGTTTAAAAAAAAAAAAACGTAGATAGATTGCACTTGAAGGAAAATGTCAACTTTGAGAAATAATTGTTTTTCTCAAATATATATGCAATATTAAAGGATTTTTTTTTTTTTTTTTGCCAAAAGTGTTCTCCATCAGCAGTTTAGCGTGACACAGGCGTAATCTTGGCAGCATTAGCTGCCCGGATATTAAACTGAGTTAGGGGTTGGTCAAAAAGTAGTTGCAATTTGGTCCATCTTGAACAAATCTGTTTTTGCCTGAATAAAAAAAAAAAACTTATATGCACAAAACTTTAAGAAAAAGGTAATGTAGCATATCATGTGACTGAGTAAAAACTGCATATTGATGTAAACTTCCCCCCCTGCAATGTCAAAGATACAGTCAAATGTACACCTAATTGAAATGTGCTGATATTAAACCAAGCATAAATTTGTCTGATGTAATTTTGCATAATCAGTCTCACTGTGTGGAATGGCAAATGTCAATGTTTATACTAGAAAACAAATTACTTGCCTTCATAAGAGAAACTATATTAATCATTAGCATTATAAAACTTTCATTGCCAGTGTAGACATGCTAACTAATGAAAATCTTTGCCTTATTTTCTGCTCTTTTAGCCAGGAGACTACAAGATAGAAATATCTGAAAACATGGTTTTGTATCAACTAACACCAGTAAGTACTATCTTTGCTACGAAGCCCTTCTATTACAAATGCGCCAGGAACCAATAGCAATAGTAAATACAGTAGACTTCCGATAATCCAGCACCTTTGGAACCTAGGTGGCACCGGATTACAGGCAGTCCCCGAGTTACGCGGATCCGACTTATGTCGGATCCGCAGTTACGAACGGGGCTTTTCTTGCCCTGGAGGATGGGAGCGGCGGGACGCCCAGATGGAGCCGCGGTCCCACCCGCATTCTCCGGAGCGAGAAAAGCTGCTCCCCGTCTCCTGGGTCTGCTGGTCAGACGAGGGAGACGCGGAGCAAAGCCGCGGAGGACGCCCGCAGCGGGACAACCGCGGCGCGCCTGGGCTGTCCCACTGCGGGCGTCCTCTGAGGCTTTGCTCCCCCGCCCCCCTGGCTGGCGGTCAGACCAGGGAGACGGGGGGCAGCTTTTCTCGCCCCAGAGAACAC